GTTGCTACACATTTAGTTGTGTCCGGAATTTGTCACTTTGTTTGTTTTACATGGGAGTTCATTTTTCTTGCCAAAACTACATGCGTCATTGAACAACGTAGCAAGTCATGTAACTACACTATATTTTCCGGATTCATTGTATTTTCTTTTTTAACTTGGTCGGATAGGCTTTAATTGTGGACACTGCTAAGGAGCGTCACCATAACCTAACGAAATTCGTCTAAGGGTATCAATGAAATTACCAAGAACTGACTCACAAATATCGATCGAGTTCGTAAAACTCACGCTGTGGGTGTTTCAGCGACAGTGCGCAAAAGGTGGTTCAAAGCCACGGGAGTGTAACAAGGACGTTATTATTTTAGGTTTTTTGCCAAATGATAGAAAAACGTGGTAGATAATCAGAAATCTTAATTGAGTAAATGTGACAGCAAACTGCTTCAATATATACCGAGGCACAACACAATATTAGCAAAAACCGAAAAGCTCTTCAGCGCGCTTGAAGCCCTCAGCAAAGAGCGAAGTTAACGAAGCGTGTGACATGTGTGTTTATAGCTCTCTTGAAAGGCGCATTCTAATGTACTCTTTTAGATGATCACGGCTTGACGCAATGTCCAATGGCACAACAGATGATCGATAATCGTTTAAATATTGAAAGCAATAAATTATTCATATTTTAGCTGTGAATGATACTGTTCGCACGAGATGAAATTTGTTTGTATGTTGAACAACGTAACGTGGCATAATCGATGTAATATCTGAATATGCTTCTATGATACAATCGAGATGACGATTGAACGTAGAGCTTGATAATATAGCATAACACAATTCAGGTTACTGAAGCAGAAGTTGGTGCTAGTAATAGCCTGACTTCGTGGATTTAAACTCTAATTAGTAACGCGCGCAGAATCGGTTTCCGCCAAAATGGTCGAGAGTGAACTATTTACAAAAGCAAAAAATCGTTACAAGACTCGGATTGTTTTCTTCTTGTTTCCATTCTAAATTAAGTGAAATGATGTTGTTAACACGCTGTTAATTGTAATTAACAGAACACGTTGACTTCTCTCGTGCCTTTTCAGTATTGCATTTTTTTGTACTAAATTAAAAGAAAATTGTAAAAGAGAAGGCTTTCGGATTCATCGCCGATGAACGCCACGGACTAAAGTTGATCGCGAGGTCTTTTGCATCGAGTTTTGCACATTGATTTCTTTCGTTTTTGCAAATAAATTTTCACGGTAAACTTGCCTCCATTATAAACGCAACATCCCTCGTTGAGCAGCAAAGGGACCTTAATTGTTTTAAGTGCAGTTTATAACCCGGATCTGATAGCATCAAAGTATAAGAAATGTTGCATGACCTTGCATGGTATATTCAACTAACGAACGAAGTCGTATGGTTATGTCCATGTGATTTAGCAAGAAAAGTTGCTTTTATCCTTTTGCGACATTGAATATGTGCTAAGTGCATGACCGGAGGGTCATGACAAATAGTTTAGTTTCATAGTCGAATATTTTAGCGCTTTATCGTGATTCCCGCCAAAATCAAGACCAAGATCGCAAGGTCAAGCAAAGGCTAAACCGCTAGGGCGCCAAACTAATCCTTATCTCATTAATAAATCAATCGAGCTGTTAGAATTCACTCTCGGAAATCTTAAGACCATGTATAGTACGCACAAAGAGAGAAAATATTGTAAGTAAGAGAGGGATCAACACTACACCAAACTTGCGTGACACGTTATTGGCGAAGATTCATTTATCACGTTTTCCCAAAATGACAGAATCACGACATCAGCGCTAAGAATAATTACATAGCTTGATCTTAAAGTAAACGTTATTTGCATTATGTCAACAAAAGGGACGTCGTAACAAAGTGCATTGTTTAAGCGTTCAATATGATTTGTACATGCAATATTAGTGCCAGAAAACGGAAGAAACTCTTCAGCATGGCATGGAACAAAGTAAATGGAACTGTACATAGAGCTTTGTGTGACTTATAGGACGTACTCTTGTACGTCGATCACGGTTTAACACAAAGGGTTCGTTCCTTTGGGATATGATGATCAGGGTCAGGATCAATGATTCAAATGGTGCATCAACGGAAAAGATAAATCCTTGTCCAGAGTGGAATCCTCGGTTCCGTTGCTGCGCCATGATCCAAGTGATCTTGGATCGTTGATCCTTACCCGCATCAAGAAACGCGCCGTGAGAAACGTTAAATTGAAAATAATTACTAGCTATTTAGCGGTTTGGTTGAGGTCGATCTTCAAACATTTGAGAGGCAATTACATCAGGTTCTGTCGGGCTTTGATGATCATGAGTTGACAGGTTTATTCGTCACTGATTAGATTAGTTTTCAGTTCTTTTTGAAACCATTTCACCGATTTGTCGTGATTGGCATGTATTGTTCTCCCGTAGCGGCAGTAATGATTTATTAGCAGTGGTACGCATTCTGTTACACTTATTCGACAGTAGTCGTGAGAGGGGAAAGTTGTTCAAATCTCCGAGAAATATTTTCATCGGTCGACACACTACTCGTTCTCTTGTTAGTAAGCACTCCGCAGCTTGTAGCGATTAAGGTAAGCGAGTTACAGTTCCGTGTATTTTCTGATAAGCAATAGTTTGTAGCCCCTTTCACACGGCGCTATGACTACCATGCACTGTAGAGCAACATGACACGGCCACGGCAAAAAATGTTTAGTAATGCTGATAAAATATGAAGGCTGAGCGTGGAGTTATAAGCCTTATATAGGGAGCGGTGTCTCTTTTAAGCCTTTGAACCCACTGGAAACCGCATTGGGCCTTCAAATATAGTTGAGATTAAGTTGCGCGCGTAAAATTCCCGCCAAAATTAAGACGAACTAACGTGCAACAAATCAGAAGTAGAAAACGTAAATAATGATAATAAAAAGAGTGTACACGTCTTTGGTAATTAACTATCGAGTACTTGACTGAATTGAATTTTTCAGTAATAGGAGACAAGTTTAGTATTAATGATGCGCGGGTGTTAGGCGATTCCCGCCAAAAGTGAGCGTTGTGGAATAAAGAGAAAAACCGTATAAGATTTACACCCATTGATTGTATATACTCTGTCCAATGTTTTCCAGTAACCGTTTCACTTTTATTCTGAAATATCTTGTTAATTAGGTGTATTTGTCTCATGATCATTGCATTTTCCTCTCTTTTAGTACATGCAGTGCTATGGACACAATTCCATGCGCGATTTTTAATTTTCTTATTTACTTAAGTCTCTACAGTTTTCTTAATGTTCTTGTTCACAATTTCTTTAAGCCACGCATATCCAAAGCTGGAAATGTACTCCTGGGTTGTTAGTTTAAACGAAAAGATAGTAACCCCAGGTTAGAAAAAGGATTCAGTCATTTTGATTCTTGATTACTTCATCTTCTCACCAGATATCAGCTTTTGGATACTCCCGTGACATGTCTTCTTTTATCATTGTTCTGGTCCTTGTTTCATTCCAAGTCTTCTGTGATGGCGCTCTTGGTCGTGCAAGCGTACCACTGCGTCGTTTTTCCGATTACTCGCCACTGTTCAAAGAGTACAGAGTAGAAAAACGTACAGGTAGTTATTTAGCTGTTATGATCTTTTTGTGGCTTTACCCTTGTTAATTGTCAAGAAAGTCACGTTCTATTTTGTTCTAAAGTGAACCAATATGCCTGTGTTCGAGCTCATAATGCCAAGCGTGCTCTTCATGAGGACACATCAGAGCTTGTCTGGGACGCTAAGCTGGCAGAGGACGCGCAGGCCTGGGCTGATCACTTGGTCAGGTTAGGACATATGGTACATTCATCAGTTCCTGATCAAGGGGAAAATCTGTATATGTCCTGGTCAAAGGCTCCAACAGCCGCTACGTGCTCACAAGCAGTGCAAGCTTGGTAGGTGACCATTTGTTGAACAAACAAATGTAAGGATTGCCCTGGTTAAAAGATTTCTCAACCTTTTGCAAACACTAGCCCTTTCCGTCCACTGAAAACGCCCCAAAAGGTAGTGGTCTTAATCATAAGGGAAAAATGGACGTTTCAGCTTATTGAGATATTCTGCACGTTTATATATTCGCAATGCACACAGCTATCCATAGAAAACAATAGAAACCTTCCATCTCTTCCATTTCCGGAGATGAAGCCGTTTGGTGTCTCTTTGTCGACAACCAAAAAATTCCTGCCAAGTTTCGTCAAGGATAAGACATGGTATATAAGTCGATTCAGATATAGGGAGCGGATTACCGATTGTTTGAAGACCTTTCAATTGGATATTGAAATTTGGTGTCTCTTTGTCGACAACCAAAAAAATCCTGCCAAGTTTCGTCAAGGATAAGACATGGTATTTAAGTCGATTCAGATATAGGGAGCGGATTACCAATTGTTTGAAGACCTTTTAATTGGATATTGAAATAGCTGCTTTAGTCCTAAGAGCCTCCTAAATTGCTCAAAATTCGAGTTTATATTTAAAATAAAGATGTACATATTGTGAAGCAGATATTTGATTGAAAGCCTATTAAGGCTTTTAATCATGGCTTTTGATCATACCTTAAAAGGTGTGAAACTGAGTGAAACATATGTCTTTGCAGCAGAAATTTGATATGTGATTTTTGTTTTCACTGATTAAAGGTACAAAGAAATAAAGGATTACAAATTTGACAAACCTGGATTTGCTCATAACACTGGTCATTTCACACAGGTAACCGTACTTACTCATGGGGGAGGGGTGGGTTTTTTCCGTCACTGATCTTAGTACATCAAATTTTGCAATTCACTTTTTTCAGAATGTAGAAGGTCGCCTCAATAGGTTTTAGTTTTAAGGGTTCGCAAAACGTTTAACACATTATGTTCATCCGTGGCAACAATCATTCCTTTCAAATATATCAAACTTTTAAAAACTGTTATATTCCCGGAGTAATCTTAAGCCTAGCCGACTGCAACGATAAATTCTGATACCTTTTGTCCATTTGTCTGCCCGATCTATTAATTTCCTCAGTAAATGAATGAAATCGTTATCGCAAAAGATTGGTGTAAAGATTTCATAATAACCCACTAATTCTCTTTCTAATTAAAGAATTCTACTTCGTTGCTGGTGGCCCTCGAGTCTCTGCCTTGTGTATGTAATACGTTCCGTTTGAGAGAGGCTCACGGTATTTTTTAGTTGGAATTTGCCTCTTACATTAAAAGTTGATCTGAAGACAGCAACTGTGCGCAGATTGCCGTGAAGTAGACGACTCTTATTGTTCTCCAAGCAGTTATTCGTATGGTACGCTGGCGCGGGACACTTTTTCAATTTTATTCTACAATGGCAGCTTGTTACAATTTTTAGGAGCACATCAGAAAAACGCTTTT